CTACCGCTACTCCGTGGCTCTGAGTGGATTTCGTTCATGAAACGAGACCTGCAGCTTTTATACACAAGTATTTCAACACTTCAAAGTCGCTCCAGCTCAGCTCTAAATAGAGCAACTGCTCGCAGCGTATGCTCCCTCGCGTTCGTCTCACTTTCGGCATAGTTGAAGCTTAAATCTTCGGCGACAGACGGTCAAAGCGCTCACGAACGCCCAAACAATCCAAGGTCGAGCGTCAAATTAGAGCCCTACAAATTGGATTGTTCTGGCTGAATACAGCCCAAAACAGGTATATTGAATTTATATTGTCGCTTGTTTTAGCCGGATTGATTTGAATTTACGTTACCTATTATTTGTAAACAAAAAGTACTTGCTAAGCGCATATGTTCTACATTTTTTTTAAATTTTTTTTTTGAATATTACGCTTCTTAGTACCATTAGCGCTGCAAGCGGGAAACGTAAGCAAGCCGCGCTGCGTTGCGAAACCGCTATTATATAAGCCGTCGACGTCAATCCTGTTGCGTTTGTGTCCCCCAATTTCTTAGGGGAATTCAAACGTTTTGGTTCCCTTAGAACTCTCTATTCATTAGCACACTTTGTTACGCTGTCGTGTGACCAACCTGCGAGAAAAATCATGTTTATGTTCATTGAATTTAAATCAGGAATTCATTGTTTTGAGTTTGTGTTAATAGAGCTGGGGAGATGTGTGCCAGCGCCAATGACCGTCTGGTGACTCCACCACAGATGAGAAATTTTACTAGTAGAGTACCACTGATAGACTGGGGTTTTTAACGTGCGCAAGGCAGTAGCAATACACGACCGCAAGTCGAGATCACGCGGATGCAGATCAGAACAGGCCAGCGTGGGTATAAGGCATATGCTAGTTAAGACCGTTCACAAATAAGTTTAGTACTCAGCATTTGTAAGGTCCAATCAAATTTATACGAAAGTCAAAGTAGATTAAAAGAAGCTTAAAAAACATTAAAAAATAAAAGGTTCTGATAAAAAAAAAAAAAAAAGCTTAGCGAGACGTCGTTCTGAAGAGGCTATGATCTCTAAATCCGGGGTCACACTGCGTATACATCATCAAAAGAGAGACTATAGACATACGACACCGCAATATCCGTGGTTGGAATGTCGCGTGCCGAGCTTCCCCTTGAACTTGTTGCCATGCGGCATTTGAAGCACGGATCTCGTGGAGACGTGCGTTCGAATTTGTTTGCAGACTGTCTTTTGTGTGATGTATAAAGCCGGGGTCACATTGCTTATACATCATAGAAAAGGCAGTCTGCATACAAGTTCAAACGTGTCACCACGAGATCCGTGCTTCAAATGCCGCATGTAATTGAGTTCAAGGAGAAAATTGGCACGCGGCATTCGAAACCACGGATATTGCGGTGACTCGTGTTTGCAAACTGTCTTTTGTACGTTGTATGAGCAGTGCGACCCCGTCTTAAGCAGTGTGACCCCGGCTTTAGAGAAACGTACAGCATGAGGCTTACAGAATGTTCCTGGTCTGCTAATTTGGTGAACAATCACGGCTGTTACTTTCGACGCCCAGAAAACTCTGCTATCATTACCATCACCGTCAAAATCATGATTATCGTCATCGCCATAATTGTCATCACATGTTTCGTTTGTGTTTTTATAAACAGCGAATTGCCTGGATTTTGATGCACAAAAAAGAATCACACATGCCGAGATGCTTATGACCGCAAAATGACACGGATCAATATTCCACATGTGTTAGCGTTCTGGTTCGTGTTCGCGTCACGCACGAAGGGCTTGACGACGGGATTCAACCGGTTTCGTCGTGCCGATTCTCGAAGGAAAGACGAGGATGGCTCAGGACGTCCGTCAAGGATGCCGCACCCGGTTCAAGAAACGTTGCGAGCGAAAGATAAGACACTCGACAGGCAGCTAGATCAGAGGAAGCGCTTTTTGAGATCTATTTTTTTCTTTAGAAATTGGAAAAAAAAAAAAAAAACGAGCGAAAATATGAATGGCCTACTTTTGCCTTTCACGTTCATTTCCTGCATCGGGTGCCTGCGTGTTTTTACTGATCGTACGTGCTCTCTTTGTTAAAGCACTTCTTGCAATACTTAAAAAAAAAGAAAAGGTACATGTGGTCTGTTGTTTTTAAATAATATATATACTGTTGAATGCCTTGTTTTAATAGAAGTGATACCGCAAAGCATTTTTCGCGATCAAATTAAACGTTACTTTGATATGTTGATATACTGATTGACAATCACAAATTTGTGCTCACATCGAGCTAGCTTTAAAGCGAAGAAGGTATAAGTTTTTCAATCATAATAGATCTTCGAGTAATGGTTGGTATTTCTCTGCACAATAGTCTATTGGAATTTACTTAAATGAGAGGTGGTGCGAAAACTTTTATTTTAGCTCGCGTATATTTTTCCCCGTAGTAAACGTTACGTTTCTGTGTAAATTCATTCAGTGTGCGCGGTTCTGAAAAAAAAAATTTAATCTTTCGCTTAAAAGTTTAAACGTGCCATGACACGAGGGAAATCTACAGACAAAACTCCGTTAAAAACATCTGACGGGCTGACTCGAGTGACACAGACGTTAAAATACACTGGCTTTTGGAGTGTTATAGCGATGATCTGCTTCACTCAAAAACTGTAACGTGCATGTACCACTCGTGGCATCGACGATGCTTCGCAAAACAAGCTTCGCAAAACAATCAGACTAGGCAGGTCAATGGCCATCTGCGGTCTTATTTACTATTTCAAATTACTGAGAGAAAGGCACACATCAGTGTCTGAACTCGAGAAATGTCGTTCAATAACTCGTCCGTAGATATGGATTGGTTTAAAGGGATGTACGCTCTTAACAAGTTTCTTTTACGAGGCTTATATCGAATTAATAGCTGGGAGCGCGTTCGATCTAGTGGACGGTGGAGATGGCACAACCGATTCTAAGCATATTTTAAAAAGAAATGAAAAAGTTATGTTTAATTTTATGTTGTCGGGCTCGCGATAGGAAGTAACACTGTCGTTGTGTTCGCCACGTTGGGCCGATAGACCGGCACACGTTGAAGCGGCCAGCTTGTAGACCACGCACGTGGTCCTACAATTGGGCATACCCTAATCACGACAGGTCCAAGGAAAACATGGCGGAAGTAGGAGGATAAATTTAGCGGTTTCGTGCAAACATTAATATGACTACTGACAGCTTAAGAAACGTAGGGCGTGGCCTATTATGTTAATTCACACGTCTTGTTTCGTGATTGGATGTTCGCAATTCTTGTTGGCGAATGCCGTCGTCTGATTGGCTGAGGAGAGATAATGAGATGCTCGGGGCTCACCACACACCACGTTTCTTAAGTTGTCAGTGACTATACAAGTGTAGGATGACATCTTTAAGAAGGTGTGCATGTTATGCGTAAACTCATGTCTCTGACGTAACGTGATGTGCGCGGTACTGGCTACAGATTGGCGCATGCGCAGTGGCAACTCAGTTTGAAAGAAGTAAAAAAAAAATATTCCGGCGCATGTTCGGTTTACACCGCTATTATGAGCAAATACGCTTGCTTGTAAATAATAGAAAAATTTTGATATCTTTTTTTTCGATGGCAGCGGGCGTTTAGGTCAATGCAAAAAGCTATGGCGTAGTTTCCCAAATTAGGCAAGAAATATCATCAGCTTTTTTTATGATCAGAGCTGAGAGAGATGAATTGAACTGTTCTCGGTTCTGTCGAGGGTTTTTGGGGCTAGGCCTTTAAGGATAACATTTAAGGTGGTCTTATTGCGCTACCCACCGAGGATATAAAATCATCCTCGTTAAAGATGAACGTCCAAGCAATGACGGTATACATATAGTGTGGCAAGATACAGTGCATCAATTTTGTAGTAGCAACTTATGCGAGGACGGATATTTGGTCGCCGTATGAGATAAGTTAGTTTTGTTTGTTGTTTCGCTGCAAACGCAAAAAGAACAATTACTTGGAATATTGAGGAACACGTTTTTGGGGCAACGGTAACGTAACATGATATGTTCTTCGTAGTCGAAATTATAACAATTAATATAATGTTGGTAAACAAATAAAAAATAAAACATAGTGCCAGTTCTAAAAGTAAGGGGAGTAGTTTGCCATTACGACTTGCCTCACCAAATGTATATAAAATTACCTAGTGTTTCTTTGGGTGCTAAAAGCGCAAAGCAAAAGAAGTGCATCCAGCAGGAAGTCTCTCGAAAGAAGTTACATTGGAATGACACGTAGTTCGCCAAGCTCCCGGAAAATAGTAGCAACCAAGCGTGATTCTCTGTACGTTCATGAAGCAGAATCGTGTCTGCGAAACGAAAGGTTATTTCAGGCACGACTGAAATCCACTTTTCCACGGTGTCTAAACCGCCTGTCCCAGATGGTGGCGTATACGCCTCGAAAGTGGCGAATGATTTTAGCTAATCTACATTTGATCGGTTTCTTCCCGAAATAAGCGAAACGCTCGTCCGCTCTGCGTATCAAGTGAAAGCGAAACGGGCGAGAGAATACAAAATTACTCGGTGCTGACGCATGTGTACGGCAGTCAAGGCCTCTATGCCTGCTCGGCCGCCACACGTGCCAGCTAGCCGGTCTACCCTACGTCACATTGCGCCATCATGGTCCGAGTCATTTCCCCTCAACCTTCCACCCCGAAACCAAGACGAAGATATCAGTGGAGGAGAGAGGAGGTACATCGTGTGCAAACTGGTTTTGGTCCGTCGGCAATTGTTTGTTGTTGGTGATGGCAGCGTTACTTATTTTGTACGAAACTCGTGGTAACTTCCTGCGTTTGGACTGCCCATCCCAAAATAATAACAACAATAAAAAAAAAAAAAATATATATATATATATAGGGAGGTCCCGAAGGTCGGTTCACACTGGTGCGACCCTCTCCCCCTCGTATTTCCTGTCTTTCTTTTTTACTTCCCTTCTCTCATACCCCCCCTTTCCTCCGTTCTTCAGGCGCCGTTCCAGTACCCTCCTCACCTCCCAGTTTGCCCCGTCCGTCTGCTTTGTCTGAGCGAAGGAACTCTGGGGGACCTGAAGTGACTTTTTTCTGGGAAAGGAGCCGGGCCCTCGGGTTTCTGTCGAGAGGGTTATTGCACCTACGACGTCGCACTGCTGGGGAAATCCTACCCTCGCAGGTTCTGCGTCGCTCCGGTCTCGTTATAAAAAGGAGCATTCTGTTTGGGCAGCCACATCTAGCCTGCAGTTGTCAGATCGGTTTCAAAGAGTCTCCACAGCTCACCGTCTTACCGCCCAGACATGAACCGCATGGTGAGTACCTTTGCGCTCCATCTTCATCTGCGTCTTCCATTTTGTTTTCGAGTTGTCATCTTACAATAACTCTGTCTTATAAAAAAGAAAAACAACAACAACCTCAAATTGATTTTTGATTTTTTTGCTTTAATAAAATTATTCGGGTATAAATTATATTCTTTCTCTTGGTTTCTCGTTCTACTAAGCTGATTGTCTTTTTTTTTTGTTAATCCCATACGTGTCGAATCATTTATTGACATGCTTCTGCACATGACTCAGTTCTCAAAACCAAAGTTCTTAGCGCAATATCAGCAAAAGCTTTCAGTATGTTTCGTTCTTAAATTTCACAAACATTAAAAAGCCAAGTAACCTTTTCTATTATTGCAACATACTAGCCGGAGTCACTGAATTTATCTCAAACCGATATGTCTAATCGGTAAGGACATCTATCTTTTGTGCGTAAGGTGAAACAAAACACCACTGTTTCCATGCCAGCAGTCTGCGCTTTAATATCTACATCTTATTTTCATACCTCATCTCTCAAATTATTTTTGAATCTGTCGGTAACGCTATGAGAGCGAGAGGAACATGATACCATTCGCCTGGTACCCTATACTCTCGACACCTCGTTGGCAGTCAGAATCGCGAATATGTTTGACGGTTGACGCTCATGTCACTGAATTCCGTTCTTTCTCCAGTTCGTTCTCGCCGCCACCCTGGCCCTCGTGGGGATGGTCTTCGCCGCCCCCGCCGAAGAGGCCAAGCCCGCCGAAGCAGGTGACGAGAAGAAGGACGTTGAGGGACGCATCGGCTACGGAGGACCCGGGTTCGGAGGTGGAGCCTTCGGCAGCGGCTTCAACCGCGGCGGAAGCTTCGGCGTCGGCGCCCACGGCAACCAGTACGGACAGGGCGGATTCGGATACAACCAGGGCGGCAGCAACCGTCGTGTGTACGGCAACACCCAGACCTACGGTGACCGGGAGTCCTTCGGCCTGAGCTCCAACGCCGGCGCCAACCGCCGCTACGGACAGGGAAGTTTCGGCAACCGATTCCACCAGAACGCGGGGGGAGCCGGTGGCCAGTCTTACGGAGCCGGAGAGGTGTTCCACGGTTAAACGGATACCAAAGGTGGGTAGAGCACTTGGTCATAGAGCTACGTGACCCTTTGCATGACTTATATTAGAAGCATCTATATGGCAGGTAACCCTTAAAATAGTATTGAACGCATATGTGCAATCAGTTGATATATACGCAGAATAATAGAGTTACCAATGCTCAGCGCATAAGACGTGCATGTTAATAAGATGCTTCAGCTTTCATGTGTTAGAAAAAAGAAAACAACTAATAACAGAGACAAAAAAAAAAACCAAAAAAACAACGCAGTGTGAATGGTGGTTGATGTGCTTTTCAGACACCAGTGACTTATCAAGTAGAAACTTTAGGTCGGCGAGTTTTCTCAACCGGCGGAAGCGAATGCAGGGAGAGACCAAGACGGGCTGGGGGATAGTGAAAACGTTCCCACGCGCTGAAGTTCTTAGACAATGCTTACTCCAGACAGGCTGTTACTCTAAAATAAGCTTTATTGCCGCATGTGTTGTGTTGAGGATCCGACATATATTACTTTGGAAGAGCCCTTTATAGGATAAGTGCGAGATTAACCGGGGTTGCGAAAAACGTTGAGGAACATGGAATTTTTTTGAATGTTAATGAAGCTGGATGAATCTAGTGTGAGCCCAGATAAAACCGACAGACACATAAAATAAAAGTCATGCTTTGAAATATTGTGTGTGCCGTAACTTATATGTTATATTTATTTTCCCGTTTCAGAAAACGACGCATTCTCTGAGGGAAGCTCCTCATACCTCCCCTTTCTTTCCTGGTTTGTGAATTCAAAGATGGCCGAATTAACTCGTCAATACGCTCTGAGTATGTCTTTTACCGAAAAAATGAAGCAAAAACAAGGAAGAAGAGATGGGGCGACCGCACATGTTCATCGGTTACTCCGAAGTCAACGAAAAGCATTCCAAGAGGCATTCTTGTACATATGCAAAATGTTCTGCTCCAATAAAGCTATTTATTTCAAGTGAACTTCCTGTACACCATCTGTTTAATCTTTGCTATCCCTGTTTGTATTTATTATTTTAAGTCATAAATTCCTTAGCTGAAATTAAACCTAAATTTGATCGCTCATAACTTAGCTCGAATTAGACCTAAATTTGATCACACATAATTTGTCGTTTAGCGAGCGTGCAACAAATTAAGATAATTAATAAGTACCATTATCAAACCAACTATGTATATCATATGACGCGTTTATGTGAGCTGTAGCAAATTTTAAAATAAAGAACCTATTGTGAGTGGAGTGAAATAGTTTTTTTTTCTTCTGGTCTCTGTTTGCATATGGCCTGAGACGTTACTTAAAAACAAACTGTTAAAGTAAATGATAAAAAAGATTATGAGGTAATGAAGTGGGACATCAGCGCTCAAGAATATCCGTGCTTCCATTTTTTTCATTATGCCAAATATCTTTTGGCTTAATATGCAGCTATTTTATAAACGCTTCATTGATTAAATTAGCAAAGCATACATCTAGAAAAGCAGTCAAAATAAAAAAAAAAAAATGAAAAGATCTCCGGCAACTGCCAAACATTCAATGCTGATGACCGGATGCCGATTCTTTTCAAGTGACTACTAGGGAGATATGCGAATTTATAGGTTGGAAGAAACGAAATATTAATTTTCGCACCTAGAAATGTTTATGTTCGTGTGTTTGCTTTAGTTGAGACAAAATTCCAGGTAGCATGGCAAAAGCAGGTTTGCTGTGCCTGGTGTATTAAAAAATCCCAAAATGTGTTCTTAAAAGAACATTGACAGTATATTTCATTTTATATTGAACACATCCCGAAAGATGTTATTAAAATAAATACACTGAGCGAGATGCTCTGTTATTTAATATAACTAATGTGATTTGATAACATTCGGTTTGTTGCACGACGTGTATATGCAGTAAAGTTTTGCTTGATATTTCCGCACATCGCTGAAAAATATGTTTTTTTTTTTTATTTTGATGTTTTAACCGGGCCTTACATTTTGTATGCTTGACTATAGCGTTTCTCTCGAGGAACGTAGTGAAGATCACGCAACCCTAGTTCATTCAGAAAAAAAAAATATTCATCCTGCAGTAAATGTTGCATGTTAATAAAGAACGTGAAATCATAATCACCCACACTTATGGGATCCATTCAGATGTAGAACCGGAAATATTACTCTATATATGGAGTAAAACGATCTATATACGGCAAAACGGGGGTAACCATGTAGAAAAAAAAGTGAAGTTTATACAAGAACCGAGAAAAAATACTACTGTGCTATAGTCGTCAAGCTAGAGGAAACAAAATAAATAAACAAGAAGTAAACATAACGTGATTAAACTTAGGTGGGAACTATATATCACATTTTGTTTTTACATGTGGATGATTATATTATTTTATTCAATTATCCACACCTCTAATCGCGCAAAAGGCGCTATTTTTATTAGAATTATACAATCATACAGTATTTACTCGAGTATTAGCCGCACTGTTTATGAAGAAAATCCGAAGGTAGGCTTTTCCGCGCGGCCAGCGCATTGCCAATCACCGCGATTGACAGCATGATTCCAGCGGTTTACAGGACAGAGATAACGTCTTCGTGCAAAGATACCATCTGTGGTGATTGCATTTGTATGGAGAATCGTGTTCTCATTCTGGTCATTCGCTTTGTTATTTATGCGCAACGCGATGATTGGCTGTATATGTGTTCTGCGGGAAAGTAGATGCAAGGTCCTTGTTCATAAATAATGCGGCTATTACTCGAGTAAATACGGTATATACGCAGATGTGATAAAATATAAACAATCGATCTATGCACTGGTAACGACCTATAAAAATTACTGAAAGAAGTGCAGATGTCCTATTAGCAGACTAAAACCAAAATGTAATACAAAAAATATAAGCTCTAATATTAATTACACATAGCGCACTCTAAACTAAACATAATAATTATCTAAGGAAACGATTTATTACTAAGGCCAGTCTCGATGCCAAAAATTACAAAGGCAACGCGTAAAAAAGGAAGAAAAACGTTTTTATTGGAGAAACAAATTTGTTGTTGGCCACCGTCACTCGGGTAACGGGCAAAATATTCGCTGCACCTATGTAAGGAATATAAAAAGAAAAAAAAAAAGCTCGATAATTTGCTTTTTACGCAGGTAGAAGCACATACTGACACAAGGATAATTGCCTAACTTTTTATATATATTTGTTCTACGAATCAGTACTTTCCCCCGATCGGATAAGAGTATTTTCTCCCGACGAAACCGGGGCCCCAAAGCCTCTGTAATCGTTGCCGCGGTTCAATAGACCCTTTTCAAACTTCCGCGCGAACGCCTGTGCGCCATTGCTTGTGCACATACTTTAGCTTGTTTTGGACACGAGGCATGCGTCAGCGTTCGGCAAAGAGTCGGATCCAATCGCGCGCTTAATGTTCAAGCAATGGCAATCACCAATGTTGCTCGATGGGGGGATCTGTCGCCGAGTGGTCTAAAGCGCACACCCAGCTCGACGCGCGTGGAGCGAAAACTCGCGCTGCAGAACCCAGGGATCCTGGGTTCGAGCCCCACCCCTGCCCGTTTCGATCTGGATGAGCATCGTACCGCCGTGCGGTCGTGTACCACTACTGCGTGGTGCACGTTAAAGACCCCAGGCTAGCGGTTGTACTGCACTGGCTAAATTGCTCATCTACAGTGTGTGACTCGTCGCAACTTTAATGGCTGACCAACTACACGCTGTATAAATATCCCCATAACCCCAATTTTTTTTTGTTGCTCGATAAACTTTTAAAATGGGTCTAATAACGGCGCAAAAAAAGGCAGACAACACGTTTTAAAGCGTGAAATGCTTTTTAACGCTACCCCCTCTCCCCCATCCCACCAAAAAAAAAAAGTTATGTCTGTCAGGCCGCGCATTTTCCGCTAACTTTAGCCGGGAAAGCGGCGCTAGTGTCGTCAAATGACCTATACACTTCAGGAAAATTAACGGCACATAACCTATACGCCAACTCAGTTTTCCCGCTAAATATAGCTGGCAAATTCACGGCTTGCGGCCAAAACATCATCTCAGTTTCTCCGCAGAATTCAGTGGGAAACTGACATCACGTGGCCTATACACCAATTCAGTCAGCCGCTAAATTTAGCGGAAAGATTCACATCTTCTGACCCAGACACCAATCAAGTTCCTCCCTAAATCTAGCATGGGAAATCAACATCACGTGATCTGACGTTACGTGACTTATACAATCATTCAGTTCAGTTTCCCCGGTAGATTTAGCGGGAAAATATATGTCATGTGACACACCAATCCCCTCATTAATTTCCTATAATGCATTTCACGAATCATACGACTTTGAAGGTCATGGTAGCACCGAATTTTTCGTCTCTCTTTTTCTGCCGGAAAGTTTACAGTCACTGACAGTTTAAGAAACGCTGGGCGTGGCTTATTATGTTCACACTCTTTTTCTTGCTTCGTGATTGGTTGCTCGGCGTTCCTATTGGCTGATTCCTTAATCTGATTGGCTGAAGAGCGATAATGGCATTCTCGGGACTCGCCACGCCCTGAGTTTCCTAAGTTGTTGGTGACTGTGTCTGTACTCAGGAGAAAACTGCCCTACCGTCAAGTTTCCGGGACACCATTTGAGGATCCAGTCACGGCACTCTACAAAAAATATCAGCTAATGATGATTACCACAACAAAAAAATATATTGGACATCAAATCGTCTTCGGCGAAGCGACGCCAAGTATGACGTGAGCACGTGAACGCCACGCTCAGTGAAGCATCACCGATTTTAGTCTTTTTGTATTAGAGTATTTTCCGCCCTTGGCTGACTATCTACGTAGCCCACTCTGATTGGCTATTGAATCATTCCACGGAAAAGTTGATGCATGGACATTTTCGGTGCATTCAGTAATTTTGAGTAATTTTCCATTCTTGAGGGCGTAGAAACAAGAGTGTGTGCCATTATGACGAAAGTAATTAGTTTTCGACTAGTATCGAACTTTTTTAGGCGTCGATGCAGCTACCACCTAACGAAAATGATATGATTTTGACTGGCCGCTGCTGCCGGCAATACATTTGAAAGAAAGGCATCAGAAAGTGGCCATATCTAGGTTTCCAGAGAACAAGATATGCCATATTGGCACGTTATGTCAACGTCTTTTTTATACCAGTTAAGGTATACCTGTTAAGAACACCTTTAGGTGTCTGACTGCAGGATATAGTTACGCAACAAGAAAGTGCAAGAAAAAAAATTTAACTGAACAAGGAACAACCAGGAACAACGAGGAACAAAAATTGTGTACTCAAACTTTTGATAAAAATCATTACAAATATGGGTTACTGTTTCCAGAAAGAGAAAAAATGTAAGTTTTTCTCACTAAAGAAAGAATAATTTATGTGTATACGCATTCATAACCCTAGCTTGTAGCTCCCTGTGTCACTTGTTTCGCATGGAAGACTTACACATTCTGTGGCGAATGTGATTTTCCACAGTTTTGTATTAATTTTCTTCGAAGCATCCCTAAACAAAGAGTTAAAAATGCCTATCTATACATAACTAATTGTTGTTAAATTTAAATTATTCTCTCAATGATTAACTTGGGAATTACAACATAAATTTATGTTTACGGTATATCGCAATCAGCAGTTTAGTTGAATGAGAAATGATCACAGTTAACATATTAAAATAATTAAAATAAAAGATATGGTTTAAATCGTTCTTATTTTTACAATATTACCGGCGCGCCAAACTAGATGCATAATGATATTGAAAAAAAAAAATGTTCATTTTGTACACCTTGTTTGGAACCCGAATCCTTTCATGGACGTTTTCATCGCATATTCATGGTTTTATTTACCTTTAATTATTGACCCCTTCTCTTTTACCAACTTGGCAAATGGTTGGAAAAACCGAAAACAACTTTATGTTTGCTGATATAGTACAATGGCTCTAAGATTCACTGTGTTATCTCTTGGATGTAAAAAAAATATCTATA